AGGTTAGCGGGTTCTTGAACGTGCATCATTTTAGCATACGTTCTCCTTCACTCTTTTGCATCAACCGTTCGCTACCGTAAGATCACGTAGTATCTTGTTTCTCTGCAGAAAGTATTGTCTTGTCGAACGGAATGCACGCCACTTTGTCCTACCTTATTGTACGCGCTGCTATTTCGCTTCCCTAACTTGTTGTATAGCCAGATCTACGGTTGCTTAAGACTTTGCCTTGACTGCAAGGTGATCTCAAGGTCAGTTTTCTTCTTTTAAACAACAAGGCGTCAAATAGCTGAGAAAACTGAAATACTGATTTGTAATATTCGCATGCCTGTTCCTACACTTCTACCCGTGAGATGGTAGAAGAAACGGCTGTAGCACCACTCGCCAGCTGCTGACGCACCTAAGTTCTTTTAGTTCCACTGTGCGTCTGTATTTTTTGTGTCTGCCATCCCTTTCTAGAGTAATTTTAATTCAAAACAACTAAACTGTTGATTTTATAACTCAGAAGTACGATTCAAGTACACAAAATTAATGCGCCCCAAAGAAGAAAAGGTGCATAACGTAAAGTACATTGTTAATTTTACACCGGGCAAATGCTGATCTTCTGCTGGCTATCAAACAAGACAGCACATAGCTCAACAAACAGGGAGAAAAAATCACTTAACTTGCCTTAAGTCAGAGCATGGCACCTTAAGACGGTAATGACGGTAATGAAAATACCCAACAATTACGAGTTGTTGTTTTTTTTTGTTACAGCTTTTAGACTACGCGCACGTTTTAGTTCTTTCTTAGTGACTTAATACACTTTTCGTCTTTGTTTTATGACATTAACACGCTGTTGCTTAGCGTTAATCTGCAGTTGCCTTTACACGTATTTAGGGTGGTAAGAAAAATTATAGCTCTCTATACACTTGCCATTGGTGCTGTTGTTGTTGCAGCCGCCCAGCATATTACGTGCAACAATGTTGTGCAACATTTTCATGTACCAACAAAAGCACTTTCGTTTGGAGTAATGCAGCTGTTGCGCTTGTTGCTTGTCAGTTGGCTGATGTTGAGTGAGTGAAAAATACAAGAAACTATAAGCGTGCTTTTCTCAGTTGATATTCTTATTGGCATTGTTGTTGCTCCGTTTTTGTTGGTCTTATTGCTATAATTTTTTTCTTTTTGCTTATTTTCTCTTCTTGCAGTCTGAAAATTAAGCTGTTAGTGCTTGCATATTTTTTTCAATTTTTTTTAATTTTTTTTTAAATTTTATTTTTTGGTGCATTCACTATTTGCCTCATTCGCCCTCTGCGGCATCTGCACTGCTTATTCCCACTATGCATATATTTACTTACTTACTTATATACATAACAACAAAAGTGCACAATAATTTGCCACTAATCCAGGCCATTTGTCAAAGTTTTTCCTCGCTCATTTCTCAAAAGAAATGAAAAAATTAGTTTCACTGCGTCGAGGTAATGAAAAAAAGTGGGTGAGAGAGCGAAAAGCGTCGTCAAATAAGAAAAATCGTCAAGTAATTAGCACAACTGCAAGGGAGAAATAAGAAAAAAATAAATAAAATAAAGCAATAGAGAAATGAAAAACTGGAAACAGAAAAAAATATGGAAAAAATATATAAAAAAAAACAATGAGAAAGAAAATCAGAAAAAAAAATTAAAGAACAAAAAATTTAAAATGAAATGCAAAAAAATAAGTAGGTAGAAAAATAATAATAAAAAAAACGACAGAGCAAAAAAATTTAAAAAAGCAAGTAAAAAAACTTAGAAATACTAACCAAATAGCTCGTAAGAACCAACAACGACAAAACAAAGTGATCCGCCTGACTGCGCGCGATAACTGGCTACGCTGACTTAATAACTATCAGCAATGAGCTGCTACATTCCAACAATTGTGGCCAGAGAAAGTTTTTGAATCTAACAAAATAGAAAACATATACAAAACTACTTTGTTTAAAAATGTTAATAAATCAAAAAATTTGTTTGCATAATTTATTTGCTATCATAAAGTAACACTATTATCATTGAATGGAAGTGTATTTTGTGGTAATGACTTTCGGAAATGTATTAAAAAACAAATGCCGAAAAGCCACAAGAAAATTACAAAGACTCCCCTTTTTTTTTAATATGAGTACATTAATTAGAGGAAATTACATGCGAGGTGTGCTCAAAATTTGGTATTATTTTTAATTTTTGGCATAAATATTTATATTTTGCTTCTTACTGCTGCTCCCGCGTTAGTCTACATGAGAGTTTATACGTCTTGTGTATTCCCAATTTTCGAAACATTTTTAAACTCTCTAGCCTTCGAAAAAGAGTTTTATTCTTCAATCGACGCCCTTGTAATGTTAACTTCGGTTGTTAAAGAAGGTCTTGGTCAGCCCGAATACTTTCCCAGCGATGATTTAGCATTAATTTCGACAGCAAATCTTTAAGTCGACGCTTCCTCACCAATTGCAGTAGGTTCTGGTAATTTTGAATCGTTGTTGAGTGCTTTTAATGACTCCTTAGCAAGATTCAAGGGCGACTGAAAATTCAATAGGTTTTGTTATAAATATTACTGGCAGCTGTTTCTTACCCAAAATATTAGAAAAAATTACCTCACATGCGCTAATTCTGCAATGCCAATATCGTAAGCGTCTATCCTAATTGTGTATCGGTGGGGATTGTTCCCAAAGCATGCACAACATAGGCCTGCCTTTGTGAACATTTCACTCAATTTTCACTGTCATTTATTATAAATTTTTAAATACAAATTTTTCACAAATGCTTTGAACAATTTTTATTAACAAATGAGAATCGCCGAGCTTACGAAAGCACGTCTAACGTTTTAAATATTTTAGTTAAGTACCGGTATTTTGAGATGAAGTCATACTAGTTTGTTATGGACCAGAATTATACTAGTATTTAAAGGAAAAAATGAGCTAGTTCTATAAAGACTAGAAGTAAACTAGTATGTATGTATATTGGGAAAAAAGGTTGTACTCATAAGTATCTAGAAGTTCCGGAACAACAACCACATATAACCGTGGTTTTTAAGTTTTTTTCAATTGTACACAATTTCGAACAGTACTTACTAAGTTTCATAAACATCGGTCGATATCTGGTCCATTTCTGAGAAAGAAATATTGCACCCAATTTCAAATGCATTTCTTTTCTTCAAATAAGTTGATTTTTTTCAATTTCTCGTGAAAGAAATTTTTCAAAACAAATCTAAAAATATGTATTGAAATCGGTTCAACCGTTTGGAATGCCAAAATTCAGCAAACAGGTTTTTGACTAGTACGATGCAGACGGGTAGTTGTCGACTGGTGTTAACGAACTAGTATTTTAACTAGTATATATGAACTAGTATTTATTTATATACTGAGAAATAACAGTTTGTAGGGCATCGCCGTGTTAAAAATACTAATTGCTTGCATAGGAAATAGTTAACAGACTAACTATTTAGTTGGTGTAAAAATGTAAACTAGTTGCATTCTAGTTAACAACTAGTACTTCTTCCTAAAGATAAGTGACTGCCATAGATATAGCCGACAATACTTACTTACTTTACTGGCGTAGACACCGCTTACGGGATTATAGCCGAGTTAAAAACATTGCACCATTCGTTTCTTCTTTGATGCTGGTTCATAGATAGTCGAAATTATCTACGACTTCAATGTTATGACTGTCAGCAGTGACGCAGGAGACGAGTTGCGAGTTCACTGACTGTTTGTGTGATGGCTCGCACAACTCGTTCGCTACCAGTTCCATATCCTTCGCTTCGTTACCCAGTCTGGAGAAAGAAGAATTCACGGCGCGATTGTTGAGGCCAATAATATCAATATCATCGGTGTTCTCCAGCATCAAATTGAAGAAGACACACGATGAGGGGTCGCCTTGTATGAAACCTCGTTTGGTATCGAATGGTTTGGGGAGGTCATTTCCGATACAGACGGAGCTTTTAGTGTTGCTTAAGGTCAGTTTAAAACAGCCGACAATGCATAAAGCTTAAAGTTGGGACATACTTTAGGGGCGTATAAATGTATATAATAAAAAATAAATATATTTGACAACATACCTCGTATAAGCCCCCTTTCAACTTTCGTTCGCCTCACTCAATCATATATTTTGTTATTTCTGCGCAATACATACACCAGTTTACGCCCCTGTTGAGATGGAATCTTGGGCGGAAACCAATCTGATATGAAAATAAAAGCGTCCTCATAAGAATTAGTTACCTGTTCGTCCCATTAATCAAAACATTTCCAACAAATGAAAGGACCTTCTTTTTATTCCAAGCCGAGTCCGAACGGCCGAAAAAGTTTCATAAGAAGCTTAGAGTTTCATGCCACAATTATTCTCGACGATTAGACAAATTAATTTGATATAATTTTGCATCAGAATTTGGGTCCTGGCCTTCCGGATGTGATCAGCTGAACCAAAGTGTGACGCCACTGGCCTCAGACCCTTCAGCGCGTTCACTTAAGATCTTGATCTATCCACACCGTAAGATATCAAATTCAAAAATAGGTTTATTTTTAAAGGTTGCCTACTCCGGTCCACCTTAGGAAGAGATTATAACTAGTTCAGGACTACTGTTGACATGCAATAATAGCATAATTAATTCTGAATCAGTTCGGAAGTAGATTTAGTCTTAATGAAGACTAGTTCTGAGCTATAGAAACCCAGTTCTCAGGACTAGTTTGAACACAGCAACGGATTAATGATGAACTGAAATTAAATCGTAATCAGTTCAGAACGACTTCTAGCGTAAATTTATACATATATATTGTACATGTCTTTAATCAAATGTAATACAGAAATATTTTTGAATTATCTATAATTCTATGTGTGTAATTAATTTATATATATCTGAAGCTACACCAGATTTATTTGCTATTTATATATTTACTTAAATATTTTCTCTTCAAAAAATGTTGTATACTTTTTACGAAATTATTCCATTTACTAACTGTTTCTCTCTGTCTCTTCTCTCTTCCTCCCTTATTTTAATTTCAGGCAAGCCTTGAGTGATATGCAAATTGCAAAGTGACACAGTATTGCTGCCACAAAGAATAATCAATAATTAAGCCAGCCAACAATCAGCATACCCACGCCTACAAGCACACCAGCGCTGCCACGCACAGCACAAAGGAGTGTCGACAAGGACGTTAATTAATCACAAACTTGCGGTGGGGCAGCTACAGGAAGCAAACGAAACACTGCCACAAGTACACACCACATAACACATCAAATAAACGAAACCATCAACAAAACGCCTGTTAAAACAACAACAACAACAACAGGAGCAAGAAAGGGCAGTAGTAGAGGGGACGTGAGTCACCAGCTTTGTTGAAGCCTGCCTAACTCAAACTGACAGCGTGTTTTGAGGCATAAAGCATACAACTAACGGTGAGAGCAACGTATGAAGCTTTAGACGTATTTGGGCGAGCTTGCCACATCAACGAGTCGCAGAGCTGAGCGCACAAAATACGCCTGTTGCTGACACCAACAGCCAATTATCGTAGTGATAGAAGATATTTGCGCTTAAAAACCATACAAAATACAGACAAACATACACATCACACATGATGTTAAGCCATAGAAGTAAAGGTGCCACGACGTGTCGTATAGATTGCAGCAACAAAATGTACGATCAACCCTGTAGAACATTTTGTAGACGCCGCAGCAGTAAGCAAACAATAAAAAAATCGCACAACAAGCACAGCGCTGTATCGGCGCAACAACAACAGTACCGCCAATATACCCCCCACTCTTCCACAACCCTGCTCTTACTGCTAACACAAGCGCTCTTCCTGCTGTTGCTCCTCGTCAGCATATCGCCCACAGATGGCAACCCCGATTGGATGCAACACTGCAGCATGTGTCATTGCAATTGGAATTCGGGTAAAAAGACGGCCGACTGTAAAGCGCGCTCACTCAAAGCCATACCAAACGATCTGAGCAACGAAATGCAGGTGGTGGATTTCTCGAATAATCACATACCCGAGTTGCGACGCGAAGAGTTTGCCGATGCGAATCTACAAAATCTGCATAAGATCTTCTTACGCAACTGTACGATACAAGAAGTGAATCGCGACGCGCTCAAAGGTCTCACCATACTCATCGAGCTGGATATGTCGCATAATTTTATAGGCGAACTACATGTGGGCACCTTCAGCGGTTTGGAGAAATTGCGTACGCTCGTCATGAATCACAATGAGATTCAGGTTTTGGAAAATTATCTCTTTGTCGATCTGCCCTTCCTTTCACGCGTCGAATTCAAGAATAATCGCCTGAAGCAAGTCGAAGTGCATACTTTCGGCCAACAGCCCATACTGTCAGCAATCTACTTAGAGGCCAACTCATTGCATGTGCTACGCAAGGAGACCTTCACACGCATACCCAAATTGGTGCATCTGTCGCTAACGCAAAACCCCTGGAACTGCACCTGTGAGTTGCAAGCCTTCCGCGACTTTGCAATCGCCAAACGCCTGTACACACCACCCACAGACTGCGCACAACCAGCCGCGTTACGTGGCAAACTATGGACCGACATACCGTCGGAAAACTTCGCCTGCCAGCCACACATACTCGGCTCGGTGCGTTCGTTTGTTGAAGTACAATCGGATAATATTACATTGCCGTGTCGTGTGGAAGGCTCACCGCGTCCCAACATAACCTGGGTATATAATCGACGGGCCATCAATCCCAACGATCAACGTTTTCTCATACGCAATTCTTTGGAACAGCCGCCGCTCATCAGTTCCGATCCCATTGAGTCGATCACCTCCGAGTTGCGCATATTCAATGTACGTGCCAGCGATAAAGGTGTATACACTTGCATTGCGGAGAATCGTGGCGGCAAGGGGGAAGCGGAATTTCAACTGATCGTCGATGGTGACTTCTTTGGCGCACTCGAAGGCATAGCTGGCGGTGTAGGCGCTTCCACCACGGACACCCAATCGAATTTTCTGCTCGTCATCTGTTTAATTGTCATCACCGTGCTGCTGATACTCATGTGTGTGCTGCTATTGGCCTGTTGGTGGTGTCGGCGTGCGCGTTCCTATCAAAAGGACACCACAATGATGAGTGAAAATGGTTTGATCTCTACGAAAATGGATAAGACGAATAGTTCAATGCTTGAGGGTTCGGTGATAATGGAAATGCAAAAGAGTCTACTAACAGAAGTGAATCCGGTTGAGAAGCCACCGAGACGCACGGAATTGGAAAATGTTGATGGCAGCGATGAGGGGCATGAAATCAAGAAGACACTACTGGATGAATCACAATTCGGTGAGTCGATATTTGAGTTCATTAATAAATTCACACATACAAATATACAGACAGTCATACACTCTATTATGCTTATGCATAAGCAGGTCCTTTCGCATTTAATTGCCTTCAAAAGTTATTGAAATGTGTCAGTTGCATAATCATTTAACCATTGAGCCATTGAGCTGCTTATACGATTATGCGTCTGGCGCATTTGTAGTGCCTTAAGTCCAGGCCTCAGCACTTGCCTGTCTATTGATTGCTGACACATGCTCCTTGTAAACGTCGGTCAGCAAGTGCAGTCAGTGCTTGGCATACCTTTCATCAACAAATCGTGCTTAATGAAGCCACTTATCTCTTTGCTTCTTAACTACACTAATGAGGCTTGTTGCTATCAATAAATATGTTCATCCGTATTTACTCGTAAAGTATTTAGATTTAGTCAGGGCGTAGTGCAGTGTGTTCTAAGGAAGCTTGAATAGCTTAGGTATGTATTCTTATTGATGTGTGTGAGAGGACTGAACCACAAAGAGAGAGTGAGAGAGAGGAAGTAAAAGTTTTAAAATAGCTATTCGGAGTTTCAAGGTTCGAATCTATGACCACTCGAATGGCAACAAGCACAGTTTACGATTCCACCACCGTTTTTCAAAACTTTCCTGAAATGGTTCAAGGCTTAGTATTCTCCACTTAACATTTCCTGCTCGGCTGTATTATGACAGCCGCAAAAGTCGAGTGGGTAGCAATATGTGCTGTTATGAGGTATGTCGGGTTTGGCTTCTGGTCCGGCCAATACCCAAAATTAATTAATAAAAGGTCGTTGTAAAATTGTAACCTGTTCAGACTGTTGCCACGAAAATATCAATTATCAGCATCAATTATCTATATAATGCGCCGCGCCACTTTTCTCAGATTTCAGAATCATGCCAGATCTGATCAAAAGAATAGTAAGATGGTTTTTGGATTGAAAGTTAGGAATTATTTTGTTAATTCAAACAAAGGAAAGCATCCCTGAAAGCTCTCAACACTTTCATTTTGAGGTTAATACCCATCCAACACCGTAAATACGCTTATGCCTGAATCAACATCAGTTCATGTAAATTTTAATCCTTATTTAGTGGGCTAGACAGTTAGGGATGCACGAAGAGATGTCTTATAATACGCCCTCAGTAGATTAATTGCGCTCTCCAGAAGATCCCATAAATCCTTATTCAACTCAAGTATCACAGACCAACTCTTTTTTAGGGATAAGGTAGGGCAATGCGTAAGAAGTTTCTTCTTAATTAGCCAAAGGCCAGCCATGCACAGATGCAATAAGCGATCGTTAAATGTGTTTTTCTACACAGGTTTCCCATTCATCTATTCTTCTGTACTATGTGCCAGAAACGCTCAGAATTGTGGAAAAAACAATCATGGATTTTACACCATGATAACGCACCAGCTCATACATCGACGCTTATGCGTGAGTTTTTGGAACAAAAACAAAACGGTTATCATGCCTCAACCAGCAAATTCACCGAATTTGGCCCCCGCTGCCTTCTTCCTCTTTCCAAAACTGAAGACATCGATGAAAGGAAAGCGTTTTGCTATGATTGAGGAGATAAAAAAAAATCGAAACAGAAGCTATTGGGGACAAGATACTTATTGATGAATAAATGAATACTTTTTGAAAAAATAAATGCAATAACGGTTATTTTCTGATCACACCTCGTATTCGAAATAGAATTTAGGTTTCCTCGGAAAAAGCGGAGAAGCTATCTGGCGTTTATTAAATATCGAATGTAAAAATTCCACTTATAACTAGTTTTTCCTTATTGTTCTACTTCTTCCAGTTTCTAAAGGAGAAATCTCATTAAAAAATATTATGATACAACAGCTTGTATTAATGCTAGGTTTGATTAAACTAAATAGTAGAACTTTTTGTAGTCCACCCACAATCCTCCACATACTCAATTTAAACTGGAGATGTTGCCAGATCTAAAAGCTTGTGTGTTGTTACTCATTGCTTATGTCATATGCATATATGTTAAAGAGCTAATGATCTTGCCAACTAAAGATGACAACATTCTAATCCATGCGCCATTGTTTCAAATGTACAGGGCTGTATTTTGATATCTGTCGGAATTAGCTAACAAGTAATACAAAGTCAGCCAATTTTTAAAATGGAACGATTAAAAACCGCACAACGCATTAAAATTGTTTAAATCTATAACAAAAATAATGGTTCAATCAAGATATTGTAGCGCCTGAGCATCATCGTTTCATTCATACCACCTCAAATATTGCTACTGTAAGTGCAAGTGTAGCCGTCTATTGTCTATTTCTCGACGGTCTCATGGACTGGGACTTTCTTATGATATATTATGCCATATTCTGCGCTTGGCCATACATCTACATCCGTGAGGAGTCCAGCTCACACATCAACTGAAACCAAATGACCATTCACAACACCTTACATACATACGTTGATTGGGCGCTTGAACCACTGGTACTAAGTGGCGCAAAATTATCGCATTTTGGACTCCTCAAATAACAGAAGAGAAGTCTTTGCCTGAAATTGAAAAACACGACTTGGACAACATGCGGTTTCAACAAGTTGTTGCCACATGCCACACAACACGAAGAAATATGGTTTTATTGCCACGTAATCTCTCGCTTTAGTAATATCAATTGACCACCGAAATAAAGTGATTTGACACCGCAGAATGGGGTAGAAGTGTTCGAATGAAACACACGAATTAGAGGTAAAATTAAAATGGCAAACAGGACATTTTTGGCCAATTTTTGGTATTTAACGTACAATAAGGCCATCAGAAAAGCTTTAAATCGAACAACGTATGCCAGAGGTATGACCACCCAAAGTTGAGCAATCAGGAATAGAGTTTTTCGTGTTTGAAAATTATTAAATTAGTGTTCGTACAAAAACGTCGATAGAAAACACATTTGTCAAGTTAAATAGTTTTCCAGTTTTTTTTTTTCTTTTTTTTTAACTAAAAATAAATATTAGTGCAGTTAATCCCTTTTAATATATTTTTCAAGGTTTTTATAATTTGAAAAATATAAAATTGCCTTTTTTTGGAAAAGCAACTTTTTGTTGGATCAAAACATATTTTACTCATCGCACATGAACGAAATACTTCAGGTCCGTATGATAGGAGCTTTTATAAAGCAAATGCAGGATCCTTCATAATATTGAAGTATTACAACTTGAACTTAGCTCTTCAGACCGATTTGGCTTAATTGAAACATTTTTATAAGAAACTGTGATGGCATACATTTCTCAATTTTCCTAGCAATACTTGAATTTATTGTGATTATTTATATATATGACGGTTTGTAACAGATGGAGAGACCTACAGCTTATTGTAAGGCGCTCCTGAACAGATTGAGGATTTTGATGAGATAAAAAGCTCCTCATGACAGAAATACACTCGGAGGGCGGCCTCAATTATAAAAACTGATTTGTTCGTAATAAATCAGTAAGATTTTTAGGGTATTCAGACGTCAATGGGCCAGGAGAGATTCAAGTATTATTAATCTTACCGCTATTTGTAATCGTTTCTTAATTATGTCAGATATATTTATGGTGTAGCTGACATATTGAAGTTAGGAGTTATAAAGATAAAATAAATTATAACAAATTTTTAAGATTTAGGTCTAGAAAGTCTCTGTACATTTTATGTATAGCGCGATTTTTCGACGATTTAAAATTTCAAATTTCATATCGAAAAATTCGGTTGTAAGTAGTATATATATATATATATATTTATATAGTCTTCCGATTCAGGTGGTTTTCAGTGTAAATAATAATTTTAAGTATTTTATGTAGAATATTAAATTTCACTTTCTTCCATATATTTTTGGCTAATTTATAACCCAAAACGTAAAAGTCGGTTATAAATATGTATAATATAAAACTAGCAAATAATCAATATAATAGTATACTTTTACCAAATTTGGTTGACATATCTCCAAAACTAACGGAGTAGTTTGCGTTCAAACAGAAGGAGAGGCAAGCAGACGGACAGCCGGTATAAATATTGCTGGATGTTCTCCTTCGCCTTCTTATTAAAATAGAAAGCATGCAATAAAAGAAGTCAATCGGTAAGCTTTACTAGAAAATAAAATAAATAAATAAACATTTTTTTCAAAATTTTTTTAAGGAAAAATGTTCTTCTTTATTAAAGGAATCCACAGAATTTCAGTTACCATAAAAAAGTTTTCCCATGTCATGGACCTTGAAAAGGATAGTATTTTGTACATACGATGAGAAAATAATCTCAATCAGTTGGAAAATGTTTAATAATTGCATTTTTTTTATATTAAGAAGGTCTATGAGAAATTTTATTTTCCAATTGTAGGGTGCCAGTCCTAGGAAGAGTAAATATAAAAATTTTCATTTGCGATTCCTTGAAAAATTTTAAACCAATTTCAGAAGTTTAAAGAAAGTATCATCAATAATATAGAAATTTCAGCACAAAATAAGCAAATACGCGTGTTTTAAGCACTTTTGCCCCATTGTGTACCGTTGAATTGAACTGAAGTTACTATCAATTAGATCACCCTTTTAACATTTGTTTCACTACTGAGATTGGAGTTTGTTATGCACCTCTACCAAGATTTCATAGAATTCAACAAGGCACGTAGTTTTACTTATTAAATTGCGTCTAGTTGTGGTCAAGAATAAAATCGAAAATTCGGAGAGAGTGTTCTAACTCAATGGTTAAAAGAGATCGTATAGTGATATTGAAAAACCGCCTGGCGCACCATTGGTGACTCGGATAGGATCGTAGGTAGCACTTTCATCTACGCTTAGAAGTATGCAGAACTCAGCAAAGCTGATAAACAGTTCTTACTCTCTTCTCTCATCTACTTATTGGACTCTTATTCGTCATAAACAAGTCAAGCAGGTTTTGATTGGTTTTGGATGAGATAGCAGACAGAGAGGGAAAATCATGAATTCGCTGAAATCGTCCTCTTCATTCAAAAGCTACAACCTGAGAGACTTGTTTTGAATATTTTTC